GCCCTTCTCGTCGCGCAGGGACGCGCGCAGTGTAACCGGCTGCTCGGGGGCCAGGCCGCGCACGGCGATGCGCACCGGCTCGTCCCAGCAGCGGCGACCCGGGGGCTCCAGGCTCACCGTCGCCGCCATACGGGCTGGGGCCCCAGTGAGCCGGCCACCCTGCCTTACCTGTGGAGGCTCTGGTAACCGCGCCCAACTGCTCACGCCCCTTCGGCACAGGCCGGACGCTCGCGGGAAAGCAAGAGACGAGGCCACCATCTTACACTTTGATTTGACCTCGGAGTAACTCAGCAGGGGCCCCAGAGATCCTCTAGAGCTGCCTGTCTGCAGGGTAATCGCTCACTGGGACAGCGCTCTCTGCTGATCTGAGGTGGGCAGGCAAGAGCCTTGCCAGTCAGCAAGAGCGAAACTAGACACCCACTAACTTACTTAAAGCCTCCTGTACTGAAAACTTCTACATCATGTCAGGAAGCAACTTCCTGCTGGCTGTTAAGGAACCTGGCACCTAACAACGTCTCCAATCGCCAAAATTCTAATGGATAAGAGGAATGCAGGGCTGGAATTGAGTTTCATCATTTTGCTGAGTAATTCACACTTGTTACCTAATAATAGGCCTTTACTTTAAAGTCTGCACCATGGTGTTTTGCTTGTGGGTTATCTGTATATGCTTATCCTCCACATTGGACCCACATCTAAGGGTCCTGGCGTCTTACTAGCTGTGTGACCTCTGAGCTTCATTCCTTACAGATGTAAAAACAAAGTAATAGTTATTATTTTGTTATACTGGGTTCTTATTTCGCTCCACGCAGGCAAACGTTGTCTGCCTCTCATGCTGGGCTTCACTTTTTCATAAGCTTTTGGTTCCAACCAGAGGTGGATTTTTATCAAACTTAAGCTTTAAGCTCCTTCTAAGGCCTTGTACCTGATTTTACATTCATACTTCCATATACTCGTTATTAGAGAAACCTGTAAATGTATAAGCTTCAAGCCCACAAAACTTGTGTTTGCCTCTGCTCCCACTAAGGCTGCCTGCCCACAAGAGCTTTCCCAGACAACCGTTTTTACCTAGTTCCAAATGCTCTCGTGTCCCACTGGTCATTGATCATGCAATTCCCTGTAGCTCTAATTACTTTTGTACTGGTTCTGTGGGACACTTCAAGTATATTTTGAGCACAGAAGTCTCAGGAACTAAAGAAGGTAAATAATAGCTAATTGTTAAGAACTCTGCGTAAAGTAAGGCCCAGAGAGGTTAACTGATTTGCTGAAGATCACACAGCTAGAAAGTGGAAATGCTGCGATACATAACCTTTGCAATCCAATTCCCAAGCCTGTGCTCTGAACCATAATGCTTTAACTGTCTCTCACATGATGATATCCTATGTTGAAGAGGATTTGGAAGATATACTCATATATTTGATGGATGCATAAACTGGTATGACCTTTTCAGGGCAATCTGTGTAAAAATATTTTTTTAAAATGCATTCTCTGACTCACAATTTCATTTCTAAGTAAATATTCACGTGTGTAAATATTTGGCTACAAGGACGTTTATATCATTTTAATAGAGGAAAAGTTAGAAACAAACTAGCAGTATGAATTTGGTTTAACTAATTTAATTGTGATGCAGTCATATAATGGAAGAGATATAGCCATTAAAATGACATTGCAGGGGCCGGCCCGGTGGCGCACTGCTACAGTGCACTGCTTGGGAGCGCGGCGGTGCTCCCGCCGAGGGTTTGGATCCCACATACAGACCTGCCGCTCACTGGCTGAGCAAGGTGCGGGCGCAACACCGAGGGCTGCGATCCGATTGCCGGCCCCGGT